GTAAACTCACACAGAAATAGCGCTCGCGCTCTCTCGTGTTCATGTATCAACTTCTTTAGATTGCTCCTTTCGTTCTAGTGTTCTTATCTTTTACGGGATATCGTATTCATTCTATTTTTGTGTTGAGAATGTTCAATGATCCAGTGGCTATGTTCTTCTTCTACTTGGCGGCCAATTTCTTCGTGTCGCAACAATGGCTGGTTGGATGTCTGCTGTATAGGTGAGCAGTGCATTATTTCCTTCTCTTGCCACTGCCGAAAAAAACTGTTTTTTAACATTTCAGTTTTGCTGTCTCTATCAAAATGAACGTTCTTCTTTTTGCTCCGTCGCTATTTTTCATCTTACTTTTGAATGTTGGTATTTGGCGGACTATTGTAAACCTTACTTGCTGTGCCATCGTACAGGTTTGTTCGAATTGAACTTGATAGTTGCTATATCGGATTGAAAGTTTCTATGATCACTGTTTCCCTACCGTGACTTACAACGTTTGCTGCTCTTTCATCCATTTCTACTAACCTGCTGACTTGTCTTTATATAAAACATATATTTTAATGTTAATATGACAAGCTGCTTTATAATTTGTAGGCCTATGTCGGTCTTCCTTTCCTCATGTCTGATCCCATCGCATACATTCGCCGATCGTTCGATCTAGGTCGCGTTTTTCTGTTCAAATGGACTGTGAATTGGCGTTTTCTTCCGGAAGAGGTAAATTATGTGTTTGTGAAGCCTTCATTCTCACTTTTAATGTAAATGATCCATGGAGAACGGAATAGTTGATATAATGATGAATTTTAAAGGTCTTCCTTTCGCATCGATTGCACCTTACGTTGCTTTCTTTTCATTTGGTAGTGCTCATCATTTTTGGATATCATATGTGGTTTAGGTAAGTTATCTATTCTAATTCTTTGCTCTGTTGCTTTACAAGTACTTCATATTTTATTTTAAATCAATAGTGACACAAACACTTATTTGTTAGGAATCGAAACCTTTTCATAGCTTTTCCACATATTTTTTGCATCTTTTGAGGTCTCATGGGGGTCTGCGAGCATCTCTCATTGAGCTCTCACATGGAATCAGGACACGAACAGGTGTTGCTGGTATGTCTTATTTTCATCGAGTATATTGTTGAATATACAAAAGCTTTTATTTTGTTTAGAAACACTCTTTGCGTTATTCTCAGCGAATTTGATTGGTATAACCTTTGCACGTTCACTCCACTACCAGTTTTACAGTTGGTATTATCACCAACTGCCATTTCTTCTATTTTGGAATCCAAATGAGTCTGTGAACAAACAACTACCGTGTGTGCCCTGGTTGTCAATCATAATAAAGTGAGCATTTATTCAAAATCCGCTAGTAAGCAAGAAGAACA